GTGTGTGTGTGTGTGTGTGTGTGAAAGAGAGAGAGAGCAAGTGTGTGTTAGGATTATGTTTATAAAATATATGGATATTTGTGCATGTATGTATGTGTGTCAGGGAGAGAGAGAGCTAATCATACTTTGATTATGGTGTGTGTGTGTTTGTGAATGATAAATATGTATGTGTGTATTTTTATGTGTGAGAGAGAGAGAACTAGTGAAACATTGTATGTTTGTGGTTTTGTTAATATGTGTGCTTTTGTGTGTGACAGAGAGAGCGAGTGATCTGTTGAACCATAGTTTACAGCATGTGTGTTCATGTGTTAGATGTAAATACGTGTTTGCATGTCTGTGAGAGACCTTGTAAAACATTGTTTATGGCATGTGCTTTATATGTGTTGTGAGAGAAAGAGGTAGCTAATGAAACATTGTTTTTAATGTGTGTGTATGTGTGTTTGTGATTATGTAAATTTAGGCCTATGTGTTTGGGAGAGTAGGAAATCATAAGCACCTGGTACAAATGCGTGATCTCAACTGCACTCCTTCTAAGAGACTACTGATATACCACTGCCAGTATAATGTGCATAAACGTGTTAGCGCAATCTCTGAGAAAACCTGTCCACAGTTTACAAATTAAACATAAATATTTGACTGAAACCTGTTGAGTACACAGGTATTAGATTTAGTAATTATTCAGGTTTAAAATACATGCATGTCAGTAAGGCGCCTTTTGGTATCGTCTGAAATACAAATACTTTAGGTATTGCAAACTGAAATTTTATTTACAATTCAGCCATCATTATTAAGTATAGCTAGCCTGCCAGTCTAGCGCTACTTAAGTACAGCTAGCCTCTTCCAATATTTAAATACACCAGTTTCATTATGAGAATAACCGTGTTTAGGTGTCTGAGGAACCCTTTCGACATTCTACTAATATACCAGTATTGGTACGTGTGAATAACGGTCAAAAGTACATGTAGTGGTTTGTGGAAAAACTGTGCAAGTGTGTGTTTAAGATGTCTGAGAAGCCTCCCACACCTGGCAAATATTTTAATCATGTGGACTGTACTCATAGATGTGGAAAAACTGAGGATGTGTTGGAGTATTTGTGTGTGTGTGTGTGTGTTGGAGAGAGAAAGAATGGGGGTGGGGGGAGGGGGGTGGGACATTATTTACTTACAGTTCATGCTCCTATCATCATGAAAGCTAACAAATGTAATAAAAGACAACCAGTTCCAACCATGCTTCGTTTCGAATTGTGAAATGATGTGTCGAAGAATTGTTTGTTGAGCCAAGAAGTCGAATGACTTCTCATTGGCAATAACTCAGTCTTTATTATTTATTACATTATATTTTTAGTTTGTTTATTATCTTCACAACTTTTATCATGGAGGGCAGACCCCAGGTTGTCCTTATGTTCCCACTGACCTTCACCTTAGACCAAACTTTTGACCTCACTGACCTTCAATGTAGACCAGTCCTTTGACCTCACTGACCTTCGCCTTAGACGTTTCCTTGGCCTAACTGACCTTCGCCTCAGACCTGTCCTTTGACTATATGGCCATTACCACTGGCGTCTGTGGTGTAGCAGTTAGGCCGGTCCCAGAGTGGCTCTGTAGATCTGACCTGTAGCTCGCCTGGCTCGCACCGTGCAAATGAATGTATACATTATCGTGTGCTTAAGCAGCGTCGCTGTGTCGTCTGTATTTTGTCAGCTGAGCTGCGCGATGCGTCAAATGGGCTATTCAACAGTGTTGTAAAAAGGACGGACATGTGTAGCCTCGCTTCGTGTTTATTTTCGACTGAAATTCTTCACAGATCATCAAAATCAACAAGAAGTAAGTATTATTAGGTGCTTTACTATTTTAAATATTGATGCTAGCATCTATACTTGGCCACAAAATAACCCAGAAATGCACTTTATCATACTTTGAAACTTCGATTCGAGAGGTTGACCTAGTTTCGACTGTTGTCATAGGCCTAGGCCTCTGTTTGTGTGGGGGGGGGCTGCACTTTGCACGTGACGTAAAGAAGAGTTGTCCCGTCTTGGTATAATTGGTCTTGGATTACACAATAATAATTAAACTATCGCATGCTGAAGATAGTCAAGGGCATAGTACAGTCCGTGCCGGCTATAAGCACGCCGGCTTAAAGCACGTTTCGCACGCTAAACCTGTCCTCAGAGAAAATTGCATTTGAAATAAGTCAAAGTTGCTAGACGTGTGTATAGCTAAAACAAAGCCACGGAACTATTGGAATACATTGTTGCTATGCTCATTGCAATCTAAAGTAACCAATATATGAGTTTTGTTAGATCAAAATCAGAAGTTAAATGTGAATGTCTACCCCCACCCCCACCCCCTCCCCCCCCAAAAAAAGAAAGAAAAA